GGTTAAGTCGAAATCCATTTTCATCTGCCCATTTGGAGACCTTGTTTAAACCCAGCTGGACCTGCCGCTCACACATTGCCGAGTTGCATGACTTGAAGCCAAGCTGAACGTCGTCGACATATGTACAATAGAACATATTGCTGGGGATGGACAAGTGCAAGGAATTCATTTTGATAATAAAAAGTGTGCAACTAAGTACACCACCTTGTGGCATGCCTGTTTCCTGGACAAATGTTTGGGAGAGAACACTGCCCACACGGACACGGAATGTCCGGTTTGACAGGTAACTTTCGATTATGTGAAACATTCTTCCGCGCACACCAAGGTGAGACAGGTCTTTTAGAATTCCAAAACGCCATGTTGTATCATAAGCTTTTTCGATATCGAGGAACACAGTGAGAAAATATTGTTTATGGACGAAGGCGTCTCTGATCTGTGCCTCGATACGAACAAGGTGGTCTGTGGTGGATCTACTTTCCTGAAACCTGCACTGAAATGGGTCGAGCAAATTGTTTGTTTCAAGGATATGTACAAGTCGGCAGTTTATCATTTTTTCGAAGACTTTACACAAGCAGCTTGTAAGTGCAATAGGCCTATAACTTGAAGCTAAAGAAGGGTCCTTGCCCTCTTTCAAAACGGGAATAATAATAGCCTCTTTCCAGGAGATAGGGATAGTGTCAGAAAACCAGATAGCATTGTACAAACAGAGTAGGGTTTTTCTTGTTTCTCCTGGTAGGTTTTTTAACATTTCATACACCACACGGTCAGAACCTGGGGCAGAAGTACTGCAGGAGTTTAAAGATGTTCGGAGCTCAGCTACACTGAAAGCTTGGTTATATGCCTCGTATCTAGTGGTTTTGTGTTCGAGTTTCTGCTTTTCTATTTTTGTTCTGTATTTTTGGAAAGTGTCAGTATAGTGGGACGAGCTGGATACCCGTTCAAAGTGTGCACCGAGGAAGTTTGCCTGATCTTCCAAGGTATCACCCTGAGTGTTTACGAGTGGGAGTGAGCGTACTTTTCTTCCTGCTACCCTACGAACCATGTTCCAGACTTTGGCCTCTTGTGTATATGAATTTATCCCTAATAAAAACTTGTGCAACTTTCTCTTCTGGCCTGCCGACGCGTTCGCCTGCCTCGAGATTTTATTTTCTTAAAGCTCTCAAGGTTTTCCGCCGTCGGCGAGTTCCGCAGCGACCTCCATGCCCTGTTCTGTTCCTTTCGCGCATTCTGACACTCGGTGTTCCACCACGGGACATGTCGTTTGCCGGGCAGTCCAGACGTTTGTGGAATGCACTTGGCTGCTGTGTCAGTAAGAAAGGCCGTGAAGTACTGCACAGCTTCATCTATGCCTAATCCGCATATGTCAGTCCAATTTAAGTGAGTAAGCTTTTGAAATTGTTCCCAGTCGGCTTTGTTTACCAGCCACTTGGGAACATGTGGAGGACATTCGTATTTTATTTATTTATTTATTAGAATACCCTCAGGGCCCGTAGGGCATTACAGAGGGGGTATATTATTGGTGTACTCAAAACTAAAGGAAAATGGTCACTTCCGTATAGATTTTTTATGATTTTCCACTGAAGCAATGGTACAAGTAAAGGAGATGCGATACTCAGGTCTATGGAAGAGTAAGTTTTGTTGGCAAGGTTATAGTATGTTGCCTCTTTCCTATTCAACAGACAAGCACCTGATGAAATGAGGAATTGTTCAATGAGACGACCTCGTGCATCACAGCGAGAGTCACCCCACAGACCATTATGTGCGTTCAGGTCCCCAAGGACCAGATAAGGTTCAGGTAGTTCGTCTATTAAAGACTGGAATTGAAGTTTTTCAAGACGGTGGTGCGGAGGTATGTACAAAGAGCAGACAGTGACAAGTTTGTTTAGAATAACTGCTCGGACAGCCACCGCCTCGAGGGAAGTTTTAAGGGGTAATTGTGTGCATGCTATCCCTTGACTAACTATAACCGCTACACCACCGGATGGTGGCATGGCATCATCTTTATTCTTTCGGAAGATTACGTACTTACGTAAAAAGTTTGTGTTTGTTCGTTTTAAGTGTGTCTCTTGTACACACAGCACTCTTGGATTGTATTCATGGAGGAGTTCTTGTAAGTCATCAAGGTTTCGAAGAAGGCCTCCGATGTTCCACTGTAATATTTCTGTCTGCATATTAAAAGAAGAGATGCTGCTGTGTGTACAGAGAGTGTCCTGTGTTAGAGTGAGCTTGTTATTTTAGGTGGCAGGACGGTCGTCCGGCCCCGTTATTGGTTTTTTATTTTTCTTGGCGCGCTCCGAGGCGGCGCGCCGCTCTTTCGGTACCAAGGGTACCGTTGTATCCATTGCCTCCTCAGAGGCACTGGATGCCCGCACATGCGAGCTGGTGGTTCGGATTTTAGGCCTCGCCTGGTGAGGGGAGGCCTTGAGACCAGAGGACCCTGGAGTCTCCGGCCTCAATTTGCTTGAAGGCGGAGTAGACTGAACTACTGCTGCCTTGGGGGCAGGCGCCACAGCCAACGGCTCGCTCTGCGCTGGCCGAAGGGGTGGCGAGGGCTGGTGCGGCGTTGCCCCTGATGCGCCGCATCAGCATATGTTGCGCCGTAAAATGGCGACACTCTTCGTCTTGCTTCTTTGAATGTGATGTTTTCTTTGACTTTAAGAGTGATTATTTCTTTTTCTTTCTTCCAGTTAGGACACGAACGCGAATACACGGCGTGTTCCCCGTCACAATTCACGCAGTGAGGCGTAGTAACACAGTTATCAGATGTGTGGCCGTGGCTACCACATCTTGCACAAGTTTCCTGACCCCGGCAGTTCTGCGAGCCATGACCAAATCGTTGACATTTATAACACCGTCTTGGATTGGGAATGTAGGGACGGACAGAGAGTTTGATGTAGCCTGTGTCTATAGATGAAGGCAGTGTGCTAGATGCAAAAGCGAGTATTAAATGTTTGGTAGGTATTCTTTGTTGTCGCGTCTGATCACGATTCGTTTCACATCCGGACATTTTGCTCTTTCCACCCTTCAAGCAGTTCCTGTTCAGACATTTCAAAAAGGTCTGCTTCTGAAACAACGCCGCGTGAGGTGTTCATTGATCTATGAGGTGAAACAGATACTGGGATATTACCAAATGCTACGAGACTGCCAAGTTTTTCATAGTGGTGTTTTTCAGGCAGCTCAAGGAGAAGGTCTCCGCTAGCCATCTTTGTAACCTTGTATCCTGGGCCAAAGAGCTCAGTCAGAGATTTAGCAACAAGAAATGGAGATATGGCTCTGGCTTGTTTTGCTGGCTTTTCGCTGTGCACTACATGGAATTTTGGAAAGCATTGTCTGGGTTGGCTGAAAATTGATATTTCATCGATGCGTCCCCTCTTAAGCGGAAGACGATCTAGGAGATGGGGAAATGCAGGTGTTCCCATAGTAGTGTACTTTTTTTTCGGCAGCAATGGCGACCACCCACCATGGAGTCCAACCAGGGGACGCTGAAGCACTTAATAGCATAAGGCTGCAGACGCCAGCCGTACATTGCCACTATAACCAAATATAACTACTCAAGGTTGAGTAATTACACAAGGTTAACCCTTGCCGCCAGGAAAAATCGGAAGTAAATAGAAGAGAGAAGAAGACAGGATAGATTTAAAGACGAGAAAAGACTAAGATGTAGGAAGAGAGAAATAGGAAAAGGCGACTGCCGATTTCCCCTGGGTGGGTCAGCCCAGGGGTGCCGTCTACGTGAAGCCGGGGCCAAAGGGGTGTGTTGCCTCTGCCGGGGGGCCTTAAAGGTCCAATCACCCAGCATTGACTCAACCCCCAGGATCCCCTTTTCCCCGGACACGGCAAAGCCACGCACGGCTAGGCGTGGGAGGAAGCCGAAACTCCCCCGTTAGCTCGGGTCCGTGGTGTCGCTACACACCAAAGGCCTACTTGCGCAGGCGCCCCTGCGGGGACCAAAGATGAGTAAAGTGCAACAAAAAAACTATTTCCTAACAGTGTACATGAACATCAATTGCGAAGGGCTAAGCGACCTAACTTTTTTTTTTGCATTACCACATTTATTGGTCATCCCAAAAAAGTTTTCATAAAATTTTCCCCGCATAACAAATGCACCCCTTACTATGGTCCAATTTTTCGAGAAAAAGAGGTGTCATTACGCAACTAAACTACGGTAATCGATAATAGGGAAACAAGCGACTTATACATTTAAAGTTTAATATCTTTTGAGGCATTCTGCATTGTTCGACGAAGATATCCCAGTTGTTTGAAGACTTTAAAACATGTTAAGGCAATGTGAGTAGACCATGAAAGATCTTGAATGTGACACCAAGATACTTGTACAGCACAACTCTGGTTAAAGAGGCACCATTGTTAGTGTTTATTGCAATAACCAACATTACTTTTTTTATGAAGAGCAAAACAACAATTCTTCTGAATCTAATGTTAATTTTTCACACCAGGCACAAAATGAGTTAATAAAATCACTTGTACGCTTTCTCGTCAGCGGTGGAAAGAGTCGCACGATATCAAGCACCATCATCTGCATAAAGGCAAATGTTCGAGGATATATGTTCTGGAAGGTCGTTTATAAAAATTAATGATAATAAGGAGCCCAGGACGGACCTTTGTGGGACTCCAGAGCCTATCTCTAGAACTGATCAAACATAACATGCTCACTAAACTACAGCCCCTCTGGAAAATTAAGAAGACTCGCGCATATAACCCGCACATTCTCATCCATCCAAGCTCATTTTACAACTTAATAGAAATTACCCTGTTAAGTATTCTGGAAGTTTGCAAAAGCTTTGTTTTCACGCCATTTCAGTAACTAGCGTCACTCCCCGTTCCCATCTGCCATCAGTTTCAGCTGTTGCTGTCGGAGCCATCTTCCCTGCATTGACGTAGAGCCACCTTGTACACCAACATTTGAGGAGAGCTTGAGCCGGGTCTCAGCTCATAGTATCTTGTACTTTTTTGAGATGCAAGAACTTATGGTGACCACCCACCTGGCTAAGAAAACAGAGGGCGTAGTATTGTGCCTTTGGTGCCACGTTTGGACGGTAGACAAACCGGTCCACTTCGGTCAACACAGCGCCTTTCATGCGAGGATGGTGATTGGTCAGCTGGGTCAAGTGGTGAGCTACCCGGGAGGCAACTGCATGCGTGCGGTCACCTAGTTTGTTGATCAGTCGCTCCAGTAAAAACTGAAAAGGCAAGCCAACAGAAAAATGGATTACGCAGGAGAAGCGACTGAGAGCTCGCTTATTGAGTAAAACCATGCTAAGGAAGGACAAAACGACGCCTCAAAGATGGAACACATAGAAAGATGGACAGGTGTGGTACTAGGGTAATACAGTCAAACCTCGCTACAACGAAACTGACGGGGCACGGAAAACATTTCGTTGATGCGAAAATTTCGTTGTAGAAAAATTTAAAAATATAGATGGCTTGAGCTGGCAAAACAGGAAAAATTTTTTGTTCCTAAAAGTCGAAAAGGTATCTGTCAGCTGCTTTTTTTTCTTTCCCAGCAGCGTCACAATGCGAATCTCACCTATGCATAGCGATGCCATGATGAAAGCATGTTGAAACAACGTCCACAACTGGTTTTCGTGAACGAACATAATTTAACTGACACACTAACACCAACCTTGAAAGTGTATCCGACAATATCGAGACGGAGACGCGGCATTGTGGAGCGGTGACTTATGCCTTACTCTATGCTATTCTTATCATCAACTAGTCTTGGCTGGCCGATTTTGCGGATAGCACAGATGACCAGCCGCTTTGTTTTCGATTGATCATGGAATGGAAAGCCTTACATGCACCCAGTGATGAAAATTACGAAATAGAAATGTTGGAATTTTCGCTTATCAGTTGATAAGATTGATTGTTTTTGCCTTCCCTGTCTGTTTTTTTTTTTTTTTCACACCAGTTGCTTTATTGTGTGTTTCACACATGTTATGCTGCTGGTTTTGCATGACAAAATCATATTGTATAACTTATCACTGCAACACACTCTGCAAAAACTTTTATGTGTTAGCTACTGAAACCCCGACACAATCAAGCCAGATATAACGAATTATCGGTTATAACCAGATGAATGAAGAAGAGTATTATAATAAATGTGGTATTAAGAACATACTTCTACATTGAATTTTCAGATCTAACGAACTAATTTCGTGTAAAATACAACTTTGTTATAACGAAGCCTTAGGGTATTGTCGAATAATCAACGCACCAGTTCTCTCTCAGGGTGGTACGTGAGCATGTGGAACATGCAGGTGACTGCACGCAGCTTGAGCTTCTCCACTTGGTCGAAAGACACTGTCTCCAGGGACTGCAGAAAGGTCGCGTAACGCTGCTTCAGCAGATCCTCCAGGTACCACAGCAGCAGCGTCCGAGATTCGACCAGGCCACTACCGCTCACACTCGCCAGGGGTCGCTGCGTGCGTTGGTAAGCAACGCATCCCGTGACGCAGCCACGTGACTCGGTGACCAGGCAGGGGAGGTAGCGTGACGCGATGATAACATGACACGATCATAGCACGCCTAAAAACGCTGGTAAGAAAAGCATTTGCTGCTTTGATGAAGGCAAGTCAACCTGTTGATTTAGTTATTCATTTACGTAGTAGTTCCTGCAATGCCAAAGTGGCATCACTGCAGGGGAATGTATATACAAAACCAGTATAGCTGATGACTTTTCTGTGATTGTACACAAAAATATAACAAATACCGTATTTACTCGATTCTACCGCGCCCTCGATTGTAACGCGCACTCGGTTTTTCTCGACGAAAAAAAAAAGTAAGACATCGATTGCAACGTGCACCCTTTTTTCTCCTTGGCCCGCACGATCACACTACTCGGGAAAACGACTCCTTTCGGGAGCGCCTTCCGTTTAAATATGAGTTACAGGGGAAGCTTGTGCCTATCTGACGTGCAACGGAGCATTGCCGTCACTCTTGTTTTACCGTGGCCCGATGTCAGCATGCGAACTTGCTTCGCCCCCTTCTTCTCGACGGTTGTGGTGCCAGGCATCTCGAAGTAAAGAGGCGTCTGATCGGCATTCCCGATTTGCCCAAGCAGGTAGCCGTTGTTGTGCCGCAAGTTTAGGACGAACCTCTGAAAACTGAAGCTTTTCTTCGTACTCCTCCTGCAAGTTTTGGCCCATGTCAGTTCGCTTTCGGAGGGAAAAGCCTTTCCTCTTCATAAAGTTAGTTAGCCAGCACTTGCTCACTTTGAACTGGCTTCGCGTTAGCCCTTTTTCTAAAGCTAACTGCATAGCCCGCACTTAGAGCAGTTCTGTCGTCACGGGCCGCTGTGCCACTCGCTGCTCAAGCACGTACTCAGCGAGCAGCTCTTCAATTTGCGGAAACCGGCCCTGCTTTGGTCCACTGAAGCCTTTGCGTGAATCTTTGCTGTCGACAATCTTCTGCTTTTGTTTCCGCCAGTCCCGCACGCACGTTTCGGGAACTCCGAACGACCGCGATACGGCCCGATTTCCGTCTGTTTCGTCACACGCGATGACTTTTCTTTTAAAAAAAGGCATCGTGGTGCCGCCTTTACACACAGGCAGAAATGACCGACGCGCCATGCCGAAGCACGTAGGGGGCGGTCATTTCGGAAATGCCGATGGCAATAGAAGGATCGTATTCATTTTTTTTTCGCACTCGATTTTAACGCGCATGCGATGTATGAACTCGCTTAACCGGAAAAAAGGTGCGCGTTAGATAGGACCCTTAGGCTTCACCTTTAAGAGCTGAATGCAGTACAGTGAAACTTTGGTGGTTCGAATCTCCCGGGGTCACCAAAAATATTCTTATCATCTGAAATTCGTGTCCCCAAAAAATAGAGAAAATTAGCATGTGACAAAAGAAAGCTGGTGTATGTTCTCATTTATTGTTTCTCATGGCTGCAGCAATGTCATGAACGGCTCTGAATGCTTTCCAACAAAGTTTTTAGACGTACAATCACACTTGTACTCGTAGATATACGACTTCTGCCCTTTCTTACTGCTACAAGACGTCACTCGAGATTTACTTTGTCTACTGTCACCGTGATTCTGACGAATTGGCAGCGCTGGGCGTATGCCCGCGCTTGGGTTCATGGATCCGCGACAGCGCGGGCAGCACCTTTTTGTATCTGTGCAGTAACTTGCGTTCGTATCAAACGACCCGCGGGAAAATCTGTTCGCAACACTGTACTCTATGGTAATGCAGGCCAATGGGTCCAGCCAGAGACCAAAGAAAAATTCGTATCACCCCGAAGTTCATACAAGATGAGATCGTATCGCCGAGGTTTCACTGTGCGCACTTCAAACACTTGGTGCATGAAATCTTTACAAACTTGCTATGCACCCACTACGAATACGCGCAGTAATGCGTGTGCCTTTTGTAGCCGATCATCGGCTCTAAACCACACAGTCATCACGAACAATCACAAGTTCTGATGCCGGATGGTAACTGTACGCTTGTACGACGCAAAATCACTGCAATACTTCATGTTGAATCGTGAAGCAAGTGTACAGCACCTGTGTATTTGTAAAGCATGAAAGTTATTTTCACTGCATTCACAAGTTATTTTCACTGCATTCACAAGCAGAGGAAGTTATTTCACTGCATTCACAAGCAGCAGCGTGGCTGCATGGTAGAACACCCGCTTGCCCCACAAACGACACAGGTTCAATCCCCATTCACACCCAAATTTTTTGCGATTTATTTTATTTGCATCTTTCTCGATTTTTCGGTCACACACAAGATGATTTTTCCCTCACAACAACGATGGTGACACCAGCCCCGACACTGGAATTTTTGCATAATGAGCTATTCAATGCTATCGCTTTAAGATATAATTACTATAAAAACCTATAACGATTACAGTATACAAACAAAATTTTGGTACGATATGACACATAGCAAAACAGGTACAAGGCAACACACATGTCACAATTTCACAATGATACAAAAAAAGCCCCAGTGTCCCTCAAGTTTACTATATTTCTGGGAAGTTCATTCCAATCTCTAATTATTTTTTTTTTTAAGAGTTGACAGAACTAGTCGTTTTGAATGAGTATGCTATCTTATGTGAATGTTGGCATCTTTAAGAGCAATATCTTGGTGCTAGTAGGTATTCGGACTTATGAATTCTTGTTTGGTTTTGCATTCACTCGAATCTAGGCCGACCTCCAGAAGTCCAAAGCAGTCATTTCATGATGCAAATAACTCGAGAAACATTTGGCAGCTAGTCCTGCTGTGTGTGTTTCTTCGCCTTTTCTTTTTTCGTGCTGTTCCTAGGTATTTGCATCATAAAGATACCGCTCTTGCCAATGCCACGCTCAATCAGAGTCGTCATCACCGACTTCTTTGTCGCTGTCTTCAAACCGTGCGCAATCCTCAGTGTCATCAAGCACATTGGATATCCCGCACTTTTTAAAAATATGCACCATCAAATCAAAGCTCCTGGGATGTCGTCCCGCGCGACAGACGCTTCAGTGACGCACATTATTTTGTCAACTCCAATGTCCCGCCCGGCTTGAACGTCGGACATCGACTCCCCAGCTAGGACAACTTTGCTTTTAAAAGCGGCACTAGCCAGAAGCATGACTGACAAGCGGCTCGCTTCAACACTCACCACAGAGACGAAAATGGCGGCCTCACGTGTGTGCTTAAGCCGGGTCTTGGCTCGGCCAATAACCACTACAATGCCGTCTAAATGACGCTAATTGTGCACCACTTTTCTAAATGAAAAATGGCACGTCTTTCAAAAGCCGACCTTGGGGTTTGATAGAAAGAAATTTGAAAAAGCTATTGGCCTAGATTCAAATAAATACGATATGCTATGCAAAATGCATTGGCTCTAGCGACATGCTGCATTGAACAATTTTTAGTGACCATAATCACGTTGCTCCATTCTAAAGATGTAGCAGCAAGTCATGGGACATTATCATCGCGCACCTCCTGGCTCTGTAAAAAGTAGGCTGTGCAGTAACATAACGTAATCATGCGAGTAGTTCACAAGGCAGGCAGTGGATAAAAATATTTGGCCGTGTGCCATGGTTACAATGCAGTCAGGCCTGTGATATTGTCATGCGACTATAACACCAGGCACAAATCACAGATATAAAGGGTTAATGCGGGCTCGCTAGTGCATACTAACTCTGCATAGGTTACAACGAGCCCAAGAAGGAAGCGACAGGACCAAGCACTTGGTCCTATCTTTTTTCGTTTTTGTCCCTTAGTAAGGTTGTTTATCCGAAGAAAAAATTACCCGTTTATGAGTACCTATGTGTCCATATATCTGTTTCAAACTCCACAGTTGATGACCATAAGCAACAAGCTATATGCAGTATATATAATGGCTCACACAACTGCAAACCTCTAATGTGCTATAACTACTAAGCAGCCTGACATAAACAGTTTAACAGATGCTAACTGTGCCCTGAATGACTTGATGTGCTCTCACCTGACAAAAAGACTTTAGCTTCTTATCGGGTACAAGGAGATCAGATAAAAACAGGTCCCTCAGTGCATCTGAAAAAAACAAATGTATGTATGTATGGCAAAAGTGAATCCCATAGCATTGAAAGGGGCAGCGATTTCCTTCTTAAATAATTTTTGTAGTTGAAAATGAGTTGGCACAGACTGAGAACGAAAAAAAAAAAAGAATTATGGCTCAAACTCCATCAAGCTATTGTGGCAAGTGCTCACTGCATGATACGTCATGTGCAAGACAACACCTGCTAGAAATTGAGTTGCTTATTGTCAGTGTGCTGTTGTTTCCTCAGCCCACCACAGGTACACTTTAAAGCACACCTGATGGATGAATACCAAGCTGAAAGACACACATATTACTCAAACAGCGATCGGATGTCTGCGGAAGTTGACAGTGATATGACGTACTAACAACAGCAAAAGTTTGCGGGAACTTGGTTCCACAAAAATTGCGAATATCTGCTATATCAGTGCTTAATGCTTGTAAAAAAGCTGTTGATTGCATAGGTCGGAATGCCAAGTGCAGAATGGAACATTTCTTTTGAAATTAAATTACCAGACAAAGCGGGAATTCAGCTTTTTCGAACATTGCAAGTCCCGCAAACTTTTGCCATTATTAGTACATATAGCGGCTATATCATTTCGAAAGGGTCGCGAACTGCCCCTAATGAGCAGGCAACCAACTGTTGCCGTTGGCCAACAGCCGACATAAACCAAAAATGAAGTTCGGGTAAGATTCACTTCCTGCCATGGGGTGCTGCCACATTCCATGAGCCATGCTGTAATTTATAGACTTCTGCTGCAAAAATTAGGTAGTTGAACTGTGGAATCATACCTTGAGAAAGCAGTCGTGTTTCAAGACACGCACTCAAGGTAGTGACAAGTGTGATGTAGCTCCTTTAGCACGTGTCATCTATTCCTCCGTAGTTCCTAGCAAACTCGGCGAGAATCGAGAAGAGGGAAACTAAGGATTCGATCCCTCTAACTCTACTTGTTCGTCAGAGCGAAAAAATTTTTCCAATGACTAATTCGTAAGGCAATAAACTTTGATACTGCGGTAAGCCAACTATTAGTTTGAAAAGTAGCTATACGTTTGTTGCCTACAATCAATTTTCTTTTTGGCAACAATAACAGCAAACAAGCTACTTTGGATTCCTGTGGTAGCCTCTACAGAAGTGTCTTCTTATCACTGCTGTAAAAAAAGTATTTTGCATCAGTAAGTGATACACTTTTGAAAAGGAAGTATAGGAAGACCAGTAAAAAGATGCTACACAGAACTTGTTCCTCGCCAAGTGGGTGCCATAATGAAGGCATAGTTTGTCACTAAAAATATGCGCACAAAAGAAAACTGAGGACTGACAACGCAGCCATCTGCGTCATCATCCTTGCCTTCTTTTGTGCGCGTCGTTGAGTTGCTCGTTAGACGAACCCAAAGTCACTAGTCGAAATGTCATCTCCAGAAACTCTCTTCGTTAACAATGTTTCATCACTGTACGAGCAGTAGCGACGGCAGACGGTGTTTGCCACGTGAGCTATTTATCGTTTACGAGAAAGACCCCGTGATCTTTTGTTTTATCGCGTTTCGATTGTTGAGCACCCTACCTGTAAAGAGCATTCCAACAGAAACCAGCACAATGTTTACCCATTGCAAGGAGACACTCCTTTTTTCCCTTGGGCGTCACCATGGCAAGCAACGCGTCCAAGCTCCCCAGGTTGTGCAGGGGGCTCTCCTGAATCAGCAGGGTGTGGGCAGCCACCTTGTCAGCGAGTACACCTTTCGCCAACACGGTTCGCACCCAGCGCATGTCTGAGGCACGTGCCCGTGACTCCGAGTCTGCAAATGGACAGCGAGCATGCTAAGTAAAAAAAACTACATCAAATGTGCATACATCACAGCTAAGCTGTGACGTATGCACATACTACGACTATGTATGTTGTATGTTGTAGTTGTGTGTATACTACGTACGCACATACAACTAAGAAAAACTCATCCCACACTGCTGTACTGCCACCCTTCTCTCAGCATTTCTATGCATCAGGAACACAGATACCGAGTATAGGGCAATAATTAATCTCACTGAATTGCAACTTATTTTGCCTAAAGTCACAAAGTCAATGACTGTTGTTACTATAGGGAACAACTAAAGTGTAGAAACATTTCTTTATTATCTAATTCTTTTTTCAAACATGGCAGCATTAGATGTTATCAAAACGCTTTCCCGGTAGCTAATTACCTGTTCCCGCATGAACGAGCGTGTGATGAAAAATATTGCCCTGGAGAGTGTGCATCGTGCTCTTACGTAGAAGATTGGTGTGCGGGGCCAATTTAGCATTTCAGGTGCGCAGGAATTATCACGATGGTGATAGCGATGAAATGATAAAGCTCGCCTATGCGCGTGCTCATGTGCGTACCTCGTGAAAAGCTCCCGAGCCGCGGGGACAGCTCGGCTAACCTCGGAGAGCAGAGCGCAAGAACAAGTTCGGGCCACACCCCGACTGCTTGTTCTGACCCTCGGTGTCCGGGCCTCGTCTCGGCGTTGAAGCCCTCGGGTGCGTTCTGGACTGGGCATCGCCCTCCCTCACCCCCGGGTTGGTCCGAAGCAACGTTCGTCCTGGCCAGCCGCTGTTCTGGTCTCGGAGCGAACGTACGCAGCCGGCTTCGATGGTTGCCGGAGCTTTCGACCTTGTGTCCTGGGCACCCGCTTCAGTTGAGCGTGACGTGGACGTCAACAAGACGTCAAGGTGCGGGACAACGACTTAAGCTCGAGCCAGCGAGCTACACGAGAAGGCGTGTCTCACCGTGGACGCTACTGCGATGGACACAACACCACGTTGCCCGGTGCTGTGGTCATCGCAACGACCGTGCGCATGAGTGTGGTTTTCTAGATTTGGTGTCGTGGGAGCGAAGCATGCTGACCGTAACAACGTAGACTTTCTATTTGTCATTGTGAGATTTCTTCGTGTGTGTTCTTGTCCTCGTCCGATATAAAGAATGTCTTCGTGTTATCAGGTTGTCTTGGGTGCGTCCGATGACCTGGGCCCATTGAGTAAACCCCCTCACTCACCACAGAGCGAGTCTCATGACCATGCTCATCGTGATAAAGCGAATGATAGTGAATTGATAACAGCACAAGAAAGCTCGGACATGAATCTGAGACACACGCGTACTCACAACGTTTACTTTCAGTAATGCACGAAACATATAGCAATAAATTGTGAGGCTAAACAATTAAATTTCGAGCTTCCAGGAGCTGAAGAATTATGATTATGAGAGTGATGGCATAGTGGCCGGATTCTAAATTTATTTTGGCCACCTGAGGTTTTCTTTAACATATCACCTAAATCTAAGCACACAGGTGGTTTCAAGCTTTGCCCCTTTTATAATCCAACCATTGCGACTCGGAACTGAGCCTAAGCCCTTGAGTTTAGAAAAGCAACACGCTACCCAATAAGCTACGCCAACATGTCAAGTGCAGCGGTGTCATAGATATAATGCAAGGACCTTGCAATGTGCATGTCTCTTTCACAAAATGTTTGCACATAAAGTTCAGAGAGTTATATGCAATCGTGACTCCAGCAGTGGGCTTACGTTTTTTGTAAAGTTCCTTGTCATGCTCGAACAGGGCTTCTGCCAACTTGCGCTTGGTCGAGACCAGTTCGGGAGGGTTGTCAGCAACTGTCGCAGCAGAGCCCTCTTCCGGTAGCTGTGTTGGGCGCAATACCGGAAATAAAAGCGTGGTAATATTAGTGGCGAACATTAGAAAACAACAAACATAGTATAATTTGCTTATGAAGAGCCCTCGTCTAGCCGTACTTGAACCAATGGCCTTGTGTTTCGTCACATCAAGCTCTTGCGAAGGGTATGGTCATGGGATAATCATAAATCTTTTTAAACAGCCCGGGAGAAAGAAAAATACAAGGAGGGAGTGTCACGTGACAACTCATAGCATAGTCAAAAATTTTGTGAAAAAAAAAAAGCTATAGTTCAATGATACGCAAAACGGTACTATTGGCCACCTTGCTTTGATTTTGTCTGTTGTGGATAGAGAATTGTGGATAGAAAATTGTGCCTGTTGTGAATAGAGAGCGTACTGAAGCCCCGTGTACATCGTCTCCTCAATCATTAGCCTAACTTCAGTTCTGGGCGCTTGCTTCAAATTCGACACAAGAAAAAAAAACAGATCTGTGCATGTAATATGGGCCCATTTTCCTAGAATGCACTATCCTAGAATGCCCCCTGCAAGTACAGTTAGGCAGCATGTTCCGGGTTTTTCTGTATGTTGGTCTTTTCGCCGAGTGTAACCGATTCCGCATGTGCGCCTGCCTTTATCGGCGTACGCAAAAGCTGAGAGCGTTACACTGATTTTTTTATGTGTTGGATAACTAACGTGAGATATCAGGTATTCGAACCTCACGTAATACGCCCCTGTTTCTGAATACATGTTGAAAGCCAGAATGTGATCCGTGTACCTTTTCTTTTCTTTTTTGTCCTGAATATCTTGCGCTTTTCAGTAAGGTCACTGCTGCAACTTTACCAACTAGCCCAAAGCGCCGCACAAGACGGGTTTCTTTCCCACGTACTGCAGCTTTCCATAGTAACCCACTGGTAGCATATATAACAATAATAATTATCAGTTACATCAGGTCGCCGGCTCTAACTAGCTGATGAACTATCACGATTGTAGAATATATGATCAGCGAGTCCTCTCAACGAGGATTCGCGAGAACCATGCATCAGTTGAAAACACGAGGACATGCTTACCTGTTCGTACCACTTCTTGTTCGGTTTGACAAGCATCTGGTTGAATTTGACGGTGTCCGAAGACTCACCGACGAATGCCGACTTTGACGCATTGTTATGAAGCTTGGGATTTGTCTTCTTGAAGATCTTGGTCCTGGGTATGCCTTCTTTTTGACGTTTTCTGTGACCAGCGTCACTTGACCGCACGTCGCCAACCATTTTAATGGGCGCAGCCATTGCTAAAACCGCGTTGCCAGACGCTTTTTGTGAATCTGCTAACTGTGGCTTAATTTTGGATATAGGTGGATAGAACTGGCTGTGAGAAGTCCTGACTACTGTAATGACGATATTATGATGGTCGTGACGTTTGTGGCAGTACACAAACATGAATGATCAACTGAGCATTGGTTAAACCACGGCGTATTCCAGAGATACTGAAATAAAATAGTGCACCACAATTACGATGGCCTTCAAGATTTGTGATTCAAATTCGGCGATGGGTGGGGGATACGGTATTTGGGATATGAAATGCAGCACAAATCCACTGTCCATGGGGTAATGACCTTGTTAAATTGTACTTTCAAAAATATAATGGTCACTGAGTAACATTTTCAAAGCGGCAGCAAAATGAAATTCAGTGACGTTGTCGATGAACCTTGAATCCTCGCTTAAGTATCAAAACTTGCCTTGCCCTCCCCTCCCCCGCTCCAAAAAAAAAATTAAATAAATAAAAGAAGGAAAATAAAAAAACTATTTGTCATAGATCATATTTGCTATTCCAGAATAAACCGGCCAACATATTCATTGCGCTATTCTTTAAACATGAATATCTGGTTGCACCCAGAATTAGTTCACATCTCTTCGGTTACTGACGAGACGCCAGTGTTTAGAAAGAGTTTATCACAGCGGGGTTTTGAATAAAGTTTAATGATTTATTCATAGTGTCTTTAAAATATATTGTGAATACTTCAGAGCACGATGCGCACTCGACTATGAGAGAGGCATACGCTGTCCCAATTACACACGTTGTGTTTAGAAAAAGTGTTTAACAACTTCCAGAACTGCAAACAATACACTAGTGACCGCAGAACATGCACAGTGTTAAAGGCCCGCAGATATTTACGTACGACATGTTCAATACCCGTCACATTTAGGAAATGTGACAGTAGAGCTTATTATCACGTCTCGTCTTATTGAAACTCGATTTCATCTATGCAAATGTATTTCAGTATTATTTTGTCTGCCACATATTACTTATCTAAACCTTGGGAATGTTGCAGGCTAGAAGGAAATAAATGTATCATGTCGCAATACGTTCGGGCCTGCTCACTGCGAATTTCAAGGATACGAGGACGCTCATGTTACACATCACACATTTCGGTGGTGCGTTTAAAAGTAACTACAAAAAAAATTGCAGACTGATGAATTACAGTGGCGCGACGTGGGAGACATGATCCCCGGTCATTAATCTGATGGTTAATTAGCAAAAATTTTTCCATGGAACCATGATGAATTATATTGCACATCCGACACGTTTGTACATTGCGTTGCTTGCGCATCGGTGACGTCGCGATCCTCGAGCTGTACCTCGCTCCCAACCAGCCGAAGGAACAGGTTCAGCGCTGTCTGGAGGAGACACTCCTGACTGTATCGCTCTCAGGTCTTACCTCAAGTCCATGCTGACTGGCTGAGGGAGGCTTCAACATTGACGTCAGCGAAGGTGGGGGAGAATGACTCGTCGATTACATGCGTGACGCGTTCTCGCTCAAGTGCGTGTCGGCGGCGCAACGGAAACTACCGACTGCGATAACTGGTACTTGCATCCATCTGTTTTTATTGAGATAGCAATTATATTGACCGTCTCGGTTGGTTTTTTGCCGCCGCCCCCGTCATTCACCGTATATGTATATACACATTCATACATATGAAAACTCAAGAAAGAACAAAAAAAAAAGCCAGCCGCGCTCGGCGCTCAGCTCGTCGATCTGTAGGAGTTTAGCGCGTGTCGATGCGCCGATGAGCGCTTATCTCCCACGCGTACTTTGCCCCGCGAATGGCGGGGGGATAAATGTTTGTGCGTGCGCGCTTATCCTTCAGTGGGGAGAATGGTGTGCCTTCGCGGCTTTCATCAGAACGGTTGCGTTAGTTGCTGGGCTCACAAATGTTCCTTCACTCGCTGCACAGGCCCCGTTTGCGAAAAGAGCGCGTTTTTTATACACAGCGAAGTATAGCAACTGGGTCACTTGTTAGCTTTTAACTCATCGCTACTTGCGACTATGTTTCGTGAGTAGTTTTTGTTTGAAAAGGGGGTTAAGTGTCGAGCGGTAAACGTTTGTAGTTCGCTCTCGTCCTGTGCATGTTGTTTTCCGTGCGTCATTTGTGCGTGAGCAGCACACTGCACGTTTCGATCTGCTGTCCGTTCTCAGAGTTACATTCCAAGTTGTTGCTATTGAATTCATTGCTTCATCCTTGCGGCAAAACTGACTTTTTTTGTTTTTTTGCGAACTTCGACATCGTGTGTCTGCAGGAACCTCTCGGTGTGCATGCACTTGACCGATCACAAGGCGCGGAGGTAGTCAAGGCGAAACGTGCGCCTGCTCCGGTCCAGTGCCCTTGTCAGTGTCTGATGTCCAGCGCCCGTGGCTTTTTAGATGCGATACGTCTTGTGGTCGACCTCATTACGGTGTGCTGCGTGATAACCCCTACAGAAACGACGACCACGAAAAAAAACGAAGACTACGAAGTCTTCTCAAAGGTTTTAATGAAACTTACACGAAAACCGACCCGCCACCTCTTTCGTACGATAACAGTGATGTTCGATGGCCTTTGGGAGACGGAAAAAGTTCGTGTTCGTCGATTACACCCACAAGTGCGGTTGGAACAACCAACAACAGTGCAGATATAACGATCGCAACGTGTTGAACGTTCCACCGACATTATTCCCACTTCCCCGACGCGGCCGCTGGCCCGCTGCACCAGTATGGCGGATAGTGTCCCAGGATTCCCAGGCGTGACGTAGGTGCATGCTATGTATTTACTGTCTCAATTTAGTGTCCCATTATGGTGAATGCAAATTCTATAAAGACACTTTCCAGCTATGAAAGATACTGATCCCAGCCTTATTTTCTGGCGTTTCCTCGAACTACCACTACAAAGCAGGTCATTTTTTTTAGAAGTTGAACCAAAATCGAAACCAATATGAAAAAAAAAAGTTATTAAAAAATTTGTTTCCGCCCGGGATCGAACCGGGGACCTTGCGCGTGTGAGGCGCACGTGATAACCACTACACCACGGAAACGACGTGACGCTAAGCCGAAACTTGTAGTGTTAAGAAACTGACGCACTAAAATTCGAATATCTCAGATGGTAGGCAAATTTTTTTGCTCACTGCTGTGATAACAGGTAACGTACTGATTGAAAAGTCCGTGTGTGAATTGAGTGGCAGTTGCAGCGTTCCAAGACAGGCCCTCCTCAAGACGAGCGAGGCTTAGAAGTTTGGGCACATTCATTTCAGGTGCGCTACGAAGCCTACCATTTCAAAATGTAAGCTACACATTTTTTTACTTGAATGAACAAAAAAAACCGTTTACAAGATAGAAAAAAAATGTAGCAGAGCGTGGTTTCGATCCACGGACCTCTGGGTTATGGGCCCAGCACGCTTCCACTGCGCCACTCTGCTAGACAACAAACGGGTTTTTAAAACCTGTTAAGCCACTGAGAAACTATTGAGTAGTGACATTCACATTTAGTATTGATTAGATGACAGTTTACGAACTTTCGCCTGTGCCCAAGTATCCATTTTACTCAAGGCATAATGAAAACAGTAAGACTCCAGTTTGCCGCGACTTACGAACTTTATGTTTACGATGTCCTCAGCTAGGGTAATCAAACATGGCAGCGCCCTGTTGCCAGGAATCCCTGCGAAAATCTCGGATAAGCTCATACGAAGTTGTCGCGTTCGTTCCCATCCGAGTGCGTTTTTTTTTTTCTTTTCGCTACTCCTTGACTCGGAAAAATCCTCCCCGAAATACGGACGCGCACTCAACCCTACGACTACGTCGGTCTCGTGAACGAGGCCTGCCTTGTTTTATTTCGAGACTCCACCGGCACGTGACGTCCAGGAAACGGCGTTTTCGGGATTACCAAATTTGGCTGAAATTCGAGTCGGCGACCTCCGGCTTGCCAAATATGCACCGAAGCGTAATGGAAGCGGCGCGTTTTGAGAACGGGTGTGCGCTAGAAACTGTGCCACATTCAGATATCGGCGCACCGACTACTAGTTGTGGGCTTCGTACTGCCCGGTGATAAGCGACGTGCGAAGTCGTGCCGCTGGCGGTGGTTGCGTTGACGGCGCGGGTTCGGTTGGTGCGGCGAAGTGATTGGTGAAAAACGAGTGACACGGACGCGAAGTGACAGTGGCGGTGTTCTTGGTGCGTTGTTTACAAGCTTACAATTGGTGAGTACGCGTGCTGTCGATGTGTTCAAAATTTAAGTCGATGTCTACTTTCGTTCACTTACGCATCTGATCAGGATGAAATCGATCATGATCAGAATGAAATTGTTCAGCAGTGATTGCCTCCTCTGTGCAGCGCTCGTAAGGGGGTGAATTTCGGTTGCGAAAGTTGCTTAGAATCGGCCCATATCGCGACTGAAAGTGATCGTGTAACAATGATTACCTACTCATTTGTTCATTTGTGCGTTGATAAAGTTGATTACCTGTTAATTTGATTATTTGTGTGTTCATTGAAATGCGGTACCCTGTAAATGCATATTTGCTTGAATAATAGCAAACCAGTTCAAGCAGGCTAGTAGAAGGAGCATGTGCGCAATAAAGAACCCCTGGTGATATTTAAGCTTGCAGAGCCCTCCACTACGGCGTCTCTGATTGCCATATCGTGGTTTCTGACCGTGAAACTCCAAGAATTGTGTTAAGTTAGAAGAACCTCCATCTATAAAGAAAGAGTATTTTTTTTGTTTTTAGTCACGCATGACTACACAAACAAGTGTCATTCCACTTTTGGGGAAAACCATGCACTGGTAGGCTGACGGCGTTTCATCTGCAATATTTGAATAACTAGCGCAGTTTTTCATACTTGAAAAATTGAATTGCTGCACAAACTTGAAGCAAAACAAGGGAGACAGGAAAGAGCGCAGAAAACTTGAAACTGAATTGCTGCACAAACTCAGTCATGGCTAAGGCACGTGAAAAAACTGAAAGGGAGATTATCGAAGCGTACTTTATCAGGCAATTTATTGACAAGTGCATAAGCATGCCTTCAATTTCACGTTCGGACAGGGAAATGGTCTTCCTACATGGTCATGTGTAATGTGGGTAACGCCTTGCATTGTGTTCTCTTCCGTTTCTCTTCGTTTGTTTTGTTCATGAGTGTACTTGTTTCATTTCCCATGTGATGCTACGTAATGTCTTTTAAGGTTTTATGTTTGTTATTATACATTTTTTTTACTCTTTCGGCATACTGCTTCTTCGGGTTCGCTCACTTGGGGCTGCTTAGAGTGACTATAAAATTTTTTATTCGGTGGCGCTATTGAAAATGTTTTTAAACAAAAGTATCTAGCGTACGTTTTCATTTTTTCACGCCTTTGTTGATGCCTGGTGCAATAAAAATACAAAAAACAATAAAAACTAGTTTTAGATCAAATAAGAGACCTTGGGAAAAATAAAAAAAAACTGCGCTCTTTCCTGTCTCGCTTGTTTCCCTTCAAATTTGTGTAGCAATTCAATTTTTCAAGTATGAACCAACCAGTCTGCAAAAAAAAGTATTGCAGTTTTTCAGTGTATTATGTCGTGACAGCTGAACTAGCCTGTTACATGAACTCGGGTTTGATGAACCTCTTGTGTGTAGCCGATTTCGTTGACATGCAGCTAGGCGACCGGTTTCGTATCTGCGGTCGTGCACTTCAAAACTTACTTGGAGTTCATCGTAGCGGACGCTTATCAAATGTTATCGGTTAGAGACCTATGCCAGTGTGCATTTTGTTTTCATTCGTAATCAGCATGTTTTCTTTTTTGTGTTTGTTCTTGGTTTTGCACGCGTGCTTTGCTCGTTCAGTCGATACTTGAATCAGCCGCGTTGAGTTTTTTTCAGTTTTATTGAGCATTTTTCTTCACAGAGTTGCGAAAAAGAAAACGCAAGGATAAGAGCAAAAAGCTGCTATGTTAGCAGCTTGACGAGGCTCCTACCCCTTTTCACTTGGCATTACAAAAAGCCGCAGAGCACAAAACATGAAAAAAACAATTTGACGTCGATTTTCAAAACTTCAAGAAATTAGGAAATAAAAAGAAAATGCATCAAAATTACACCAGTTTCAGGTTTACATAAAATAAGCAAACCACAAAGAGAGATCTTCAATCAATGTTGATATTGGGCAGTTGGGGCAGTGTGCATCGAAATTCGAGAGATGGGCGTCCGAAACATGTAGATAGTGGCGTGGTTTCTCTCAAAGGATTTGCTTCCGGCGCACACAGCGCGCGCTAAGCATGGCCTTCGAGATCCCAGCTCAATACATGGAGAGAGTGCAATTGATTTCGGCGACACCTGTTCGAACGTAACGTGCGGGTCACCGCCCAACAACAAGTTCTTCTACAATACATTTCTAGTACAGTGGGCCTGTTTTACGTTGTTATCGCGCACTTTGACAAGCTTTTGAATAAGCTCGGACAGCCCGACATCTGATGACTATAGGGAGGGTGATAACGATTTTGTCGAATTATCGACGATAAGAGTTTCCAAAAAGTAACTCTATGCTTATCGACATACTTTTGAAACTGGGAAGCGACTAGCCGCATTCTAGTCTGATTTGATCATTTAATGCTGTCTAACACCCTTACTCTTTTTTTTTTCGTACTGTTGGAACATCGATCATGATCGTTGAATTATTGATTCGTCACGGACATTGAAAGCTGGCTTGCTTGCATGAGGTATGAAAAATCGTGGATTGATAAAGTGGACTAATAATGTTTTAAAATAAAAGAGCAGAGAAGCTGTTACGAGCAATCGTTTTGTCATCTATATTAAAATACAGAGAAATTGGAATAGCACATCAAAGTCGATGCAATGATATCACCACCTTACATGGCATTCAGTGATAAGAGTGTTACCAGCGTCATATAGTTAGTGTAATGATTTCTGCGTGGGGCACTTCTGTGAATCGGTCAACTGAATTTTTGCTGTGCACATTTCTAGCTGTCTGTGCATTACGTAAATACATTGAATGCGAAGCGCTGCATTGGAAGCGAGCTGCGGTTTAGGAGGAAGCATTTGGGTTTGCATGAAATCGACATTTTTAGGGCTGAAGGGGGAGCGTGAAAAGGGAGAAGATAAAATAACTGTAGTGTTGCAATAAATAAGGGCATAGACAACCCCTATAAAATTATAATCAACATGAAATATATTCCGCATGATTACTAAATTTGGAATGAAAACTTACTGGAAATAGGGGTACTGATTGGGACCCCTACAGAGGGACCCCTACATAACAATAACCCGGCTGACCACGTTAACTGCTGGTAAAGGTGTATCCAACTTCTTGCTAGTCAACCTTCTTGCTGCGGCCATTTTATGCCCGCAAACTTCTTAAGCCGAACTTTTTGCTTCCCCCCGCCCCCCGTACACTTGCATTATTTTGGAATCTAATTCTTTACTTCTAATGGCCAGCGGTTGACCACTGGTTAACAGTGTCCTTCCTCTCATAATCGATTAGTGAGAATATAAACGTAGGCAATATTTATCCGCTACTGTGTACTACGCCTTTGACTGCTTTGCTGGCCACAAAACTTCCCTTAGGGAAGGACTCGGTCTGCTTGTTCGCGTATCCATTAATTCCGTGTTCAAGCTTTTCCCAATGTGCATTTTTTATGTCCCATTGAAATTTCCTCTCGTTAATGAACATTGTGTAATAGCTTCTCGTGATTTCCGTCCCAAAACTGCGATGGGATTACGAGAGACTCCGTATATGTATACTAGTTGGCTCCGGAAACTTCGATCACCTAAGGCCCCTGAACGTCATCATCAGCCCGACTGCACCCACTGCAGGGCAAAGGCCGGGACAGAGACCGTGAAAACACAAAGACCGCTGTTTGTTGATAAACACAGCTCTGGTAAACAATTACGCTCAAAGATCTCGTTACTTCACGCTTCGTGGATGTTTATTAGGGGTGTTGGTGGGGCCTAGCAAGAAACGATAATGTAATAAGATATGAGAGATGAAAAGCGAGGGGAAAGGAAATAGAAAAGGGAAAACCGAGAAGAGGAAAGTAAGGTAGAGAAGAGACGAGTAGGTGGCAGAAGGTAAGAGTTAAAAAAAAAAAACGTGCCTCGCTTTTCCGCGCACACATGTATAGGTTCAACCATTCGCAGGTACAGGGCATCTTGAGGCGTCTTGAGGCATGGTTCATGGTCCTATACCCAACTAAAAAGACGGAGAAAAGTAGGAGAGAAGAGAAAACACTGTCTGGCGATTGTCCAAATACCGTGCCACCAATACTCTTGCCCGCACCATTCTGAGTCCGGGTTGAGTCTATGCGTTCAACGGGGTGGTTGTGAGGTCCCATTAGGCCGCCGTTGAGCGAGGATGGCATCACTGTTTAATTGGGGTGTGTGCCCGCAGGCAAGGACAATGCGGGGAGGCAGAGGCAGCCGAGGTTCTTACCCTCGCCAGTGTATGGCATACAGGACAGCTCCTCTTCCACATCATCCCAATCATGCGGGTGTGTATTTGTCCACTGCCGCCTGTTTTTTTTTCCGTTTTTTTTCCCTCCGTCTTGGCACTCTCATATAGCGCGAGGAATTTCGCAGTCTACGTACTCAACTGAGGTCGGGAATGTTGTCTCCTACCAGCTCAACAAGTTTGATGATCAGCGTGCGGTTCTTTGCGTATACCGTAGCGCGTGGTTGCATTTGTGCTGCCAGATTTCGGGTCAATTACTGACCGCTCCGCGAGGTATATGTCCCCGTTGACCCCTATAGGGAGACGAATGCGCTACCTTTGCCCAAATTTAGTTTTTCTTTTCCATTTGGCTTTCTTTTGTAAATAGTGCTTTGTGTGTGAACTAAACGCCCCTATTTATTTATTTTCCATTGGCTTTAAACATGGTATGTTTATGCAGGGGCAAGTTTTTCCCACACCTTTACTTTGACATTTCTCTTATCAAAGGTGGGAATAAAGTTTGGAATGGGGTGGTGGTGGAGGGCGGGTACACTATATAACGTGGGGAGCCAGCGAAGTCGGTTTTCTTTATTGTGGAATCTTCCAGACAAGTCTACTTTTTCGTTATTTTTTTTTCCAAAGTGGCTAAAGCCTCTTGCGGCCACCACAGCATCGCTTCGCGTGCGCGGCTCGGGAGGACTTCGTGTTGCGTAGCTTGACGTGAAGTGGGTGAAATAAAATCATCTAACTAGATAGTCCGGAACGAATCCGGGACATGTAGCTGGCCTGGAGGGTTGAACTTGTTTCGGGAGAGTTGAACTTGTTTCGCACTTCGATACAATGCGTGGTCGAGCAGTGGTCGACAATCGCTGTTTGTATCTTCGTAGTATCCGCACTTCTGAAAATTTTTTGCGTTGATCTTCAGCGTTAATTCGCATTTGTTTCAGAATCCCAGTGAAGTCCACGATTTCGCACCAATCCACGAAGGCCTGGATGTCATGACCTGACACATTCGGAGTGGGTTTGGCTTGCCTAGCAAATTGGAGCCTACAGCAAAGATGACCGTGTTAGATTCTTCCTGCAGTGCCCTAGCCAAGGAAAGTCCGTCGGCTACCCTGTAAGTCGCATTGCTTATTTTCTATAGCAAAGATTTCAAGAGACGTCACAGACCCTTGCTAGGTACCTCAACATGGTGGCCACCGTGGCTTTTTAATTCATTAGAGAGTGTTGCTACAGCGGATGATGATGATATATGTTGTTTAATGGTGCAAGAGCCATTGATGGCCAAAGAGCGCCAGGAAATGATATCGTATCAGAGCAATGGTTATGTTTAATGGCTGTAAGAGGGCCAAAGATTCTGTGCTCTAAATGTGCGTAAAACATATACTTATTAAAATCATGAAAGTGAAGTGAAGCATGCCTGGTGAGAATGAGTCTTAAGTTATCATGACACCATAGAATAGGAATGTTATATTAGCACCGTTACCTCGCAAGCGCCCTTGGTTCCAAGAGCTGGGAGACAGGTGCTCTCTTTGGATGTAGCATCCGCAGCAGCAGCCACCTTTCAGAGGCCGTGCTACCGATCACTTGAGTAGATAACATCGAAAGTATTTACTTCCTTTAAGAATACATTCAATGCATTATATTTAAAAAGAAGTTCGCGACCAATAAACATAGCTGGATGAAGGGGTATGTGTTCCTTGTACGCTAGTGAAAAATGTTTTTTCCTGTAAGCCTCTAGCTCAGAGCATTCAAAGATTAGGTTAGGTACCTAACCTAACCATTCAAGGAGTATGTGAAGTACGGTAAGTGGACGGCCCTATCTGTGACAGCTGCGTGGGTCACCACCGGACAAAAGGTGTGTGTGCGTGCTGTGTGTGTGTCCTATTCTAAGTCGACAGAGACTAACCTCTGTACAGCGCGTTTTCGACGTGGGTGGCCAGTTACCGAGGTATGGTTTGATCAACTGTAACTTGTTATGAGTTTGTAGATCCCATAACTTTTGCCAGTAAGCCCTGAGCTTTTTCCGTATGTTTGCTTTTAGGTCCATTATAGGGACATCAACTGGAGAGCTTGCAGTGCTCCCGTTGATTGACGTGGCGAGCTGGTCAGCCAACACATTTCCTTCGATCTCGCGGTGTCCTGGCGCCCAGCACTCGACGATATGTTGCTTAGAATCACACGACGATATGTTGCTCGCGGGGACTGCAACACGCAGTCTTGGAGTCCCCGCGTTCTTTTCTGTTCTCCCCGCCCTCTTATTTTTCACCAGCCGCGCCAAAGGGGAACACAGACGAACGTATTGCGGGCACCGGCACTAAACCTGATGTCACCGTTTCATGGTCCGCGTGTTCGAGTAAGAAATAACGCGGCTAGACGCGGCATCTCAACCGGCTGGTACCCCAAGATGGTGACCACGGTGACGTCAATGAAAATAGCCTGCACAGGAAGGGAAAAAACGCCGCCATGATGGGTTGCGTGCGGGTGTCATCATCATCATCATCAGCCTGACTACGTCCACTGCAGGACAAAGGCCTCTCCCATGTTCCGCCAGTTAACCCGGTCCTGTGCTTGCTGCTTCCAATTTATACCCGCAAACTTCTTAATCTCATCTGCCCACCTAACCTTCTGTCTCCCCCTAACCCGCTTCCCTTCTCTGGGAATCCAGTCAGTTACCCTTAATGACCAGCGGTTATCCTGTCTACGCGCTACATGCCCTGCCCATGTCCATTTCTTCTTCTTGATTTCAGCCATGATATCCTTAACCCCCGTTTGTTCCCTAATCCACTCTGCTCTCTTCTTGTCTCTTAAGGTTACACCTACCATTTTTCTTTCCATTGCTCGCTGCGTCGTCCTCAATTTAAGCTGAACCCTCTTTGTAAGTCTCCAGGTTTCTGCTCCGTAGCTAATTACCGGCAAGATACAGCTGTTATATACCTTCCTCTTGAGGGATAGTGGCAATCTACCAGTCATAATTTGAGAGTGCTTGCCGAATGTGCTCCACCCCATTCTTATTCTTCTAGTTACTTCAATCTCGTGGTTCGGCTCTGCGGTTATTACCTGCCCTAAGTAGACATAGTCTTTTACAAATTCAAGTGCACTATTACCTATCTCGAAGCGCTGCTCTTTGCCGAGGTTGTTGTACATTACTTTCGTTTTCTGCAGATTAATTTTAAGACCCACTTTTCTGCTCTCCTTGTCTAACTCCGTAATCATGAGTTGCAATTCGTCCCCCGAGTTACTCAGCAATGCAATGTCATCGGCGAAGCGCAGGTTACTAAGGTATTCTCCATTGACTCTTATCCCTAACTGTTCCCATTCTAGGTTTCTGAAAACCTCCTGTAAGCACGCGGTAAACAGCATTGGGGAAATTGTGTCCCCCTGCCTTACACCCTTCTTGATTGGTATTCTGTTGCTTTCTCTATGAAGCACTATGGTAGCAACTGCTACCATAGTGCGTGCGGGTGTACGATGGCTAAAAGCAAGGTACAGCCTCTGCAGTGCATTTGGGGGGGGGGTCACGCCAATTTGCGCAGTCCAGAAAGAACAATGGCGGCTCCCGGAGAGCCGTTTCTTCTAGAAGCCTATATACTAAGTTGTGCGAACAACTAAACATTTCGATCGAATACCGTGGCTGTGTCATGCGGAGTAGTCTAAGGCAACGCCCTGTCGCCGTCACATGTCTCGCGTTGGCGTCACACGAGTCCCACGTCGGACAAATACAGACCCAGCAGCCTACACGTCTGGAACGGCAGTGCTTGCTTGTTCGCGGACGCCAGTTTTAGGTCCGAAGAGTGCCACAAGTGGAGGTCGTCGAAACCGTAACAAGGGGGCGGGGTTCCGTGGCCTTTGAATTCGTTCGCCCTGCACCGGTGTACTATCTCGTTGGCCTCGTACTTTTCGGGATAATTTGCAAACCTGCGACACCAGGTGACAGTCAGCTCACACCTGTCGCTGTCTGGTGACCCCCAAAAGACATGGCGCGCGTGACGTCACCGCCGTTGCGTATGCGCAGACTAGTATATGAAAAAAAAAGCCCATTCGTCCGTCCGATACAGCGAACCTTAACCGAAACGCCTGCGACGGGAGTTAAATGCACATAAACATATAACATATAAGCATATAACATAAAATTGATAATGACAACACAAATAAGATAACCACAAGAAAAGAACAGGAACGGATAGGGAATATTGCATCCTACAAAAGAAACAGATCAGCACAAGGCAGGCACCGGAGAATCAGCGCTGCGCAGTTCGGGCAGCTTTCACATGTGGTAGAATCTGGCTTAGAATTCTTGAAAGGAAATCGCCTGAATGGGCACTGCAGGCTGACACCAGCCTACAGTATCTACTATGGTGACTTCCCGCACCAGTATAGTTAATTGCGGCGACGCGAGTTAAAGTATGCAAAATTACCGCTTGCTCGAGCGTGAGACGAGAAGCTCATACCGTTTTGAACAGCAGGCGTACGCTAGGAACGGGAACTACCTTTAAAAAAACGTGCTGTCATTCATTATTCAATGACTACTGATTGTTAACATGCGTATTTTCATTGCTACCGAGGGCTTGGACTATCAATTGACGTAAAAGTTTTCGCGTCAGTATACTCCTTTAATTTCTCGACCTACCTGACCCCCTGCTTTCTCGCAGTGCGCTGCCTTCTCGGAATTCAATCTGTCAATATGTCGAGTGGTAGCCTTACGCTTTCGCTACATCCCCTACACATTTTCTTGTTTAGATGTGTATATTGCTTGACGCGGCAGATCCGTCCATGGATAGGATGTTGTGCGAAAGCCGTATTAACTTCACACTTTCTCTGTGCAACCGCCAATCCACGGATGATCCATGTCTCAGTACGCATGCGCCGACGCCTATATCCGAGACATGGTTAAGCTCGGAGGCAAATACAAGATTTTTCGTGATAGAGAGGGGTGGGGGTCTGGTTCCTAAAGCTGAGCGTAGAGTCTAGAACATGGGTCCTCTTCTTAAGGGTAAACGTTAAACAATTCATGGAAAGTGGAGTCGTACATCTTCCCTTACATTGCAACAGGATGGAAAGGTGGGCTAGTTGGTAATTCATGATGGTTCAGCGAACTGGGAGCGCGGGGGTAAACACCGACACAAAGCAAAGAAGGGGCACACAGCAAGAGCGCGAGACGAGAAGCTCATGCTGTGTGCCTCTTCTTTGCTTTGTCTCTGTGTTTACCCCCGCGCTCCCACTTCGCTGAACCATCATCCTCCCTTATTCACACGAAGGAGATATACATGGGGGATAAAGGCGGAGCCAAGTGACGTTAACAGGTGAGGATAAGTCGCCCCAAATGTTCCTCACTCAGACGGACGACGTGAACGGTGGGGGAGATCAGTCTGGCCAGAGCCTTCACCATATGATTGAGCGGGAGCGTGGAAGAATTCTTTGACCCCCAGCCATAGATACCGGCAAGCTTTCGTCTTGGAGGGGGGGGGGGGTTCAAAGCCGCGTTGTGTCTTGATCAGAGAAGGAGGAAAGCGCTGGCGTTTCTTGGGTGAGGAAAGTGCTGGTGCTGTTTAAGGGAAGTGTCGGTTTTGCACCCCCCCTCTCCTTTGCCGCTTTCCTGCTTTTAGAATATTTCTTGTTCATATGTAGTTTTTTTTTGTAGAATGCGAACAGGGTGTTGCCCTTTGTTTGACTCGCCATCACAAGCTTTTTTTTTTTGCAAAAATGAACTCGCCGAAAGTAACATTCCAGGCAGCGTCATTGACAATGGCTTTTTTTTTTTACTACGAAATTGCTCACAGCCTCTCTGCCTCGTCAAATACTACTATTGAGTCGGTAGATAGGAATTTCATTATCTTTCGATGTCGCTTGGCTTTCTGCGAACGAAAGAATTATGCTGTCATATCATTTCTCTCATGAGAACAACCGAGAACGGAAGGGATCTAGCCTATTAATATTAGGCAATTATCTGTACAAGCGTTTCATTATAATTTCGTTACACAAGGTAATAGAGGACCGCTTTTTTCTTCGTGAGCTCAGCCTAAGATTCTGCTGCATCAGTGCAGCCGATAAAGTAAAATGTGAAGTATGTCATGTTTCTGAAAATAAAAAAAAGGCAGCTCTCGGATTCTAGGGCTG